CTCCCTGGGCCGGGCCCTGGCTGCCCTCAGGGACAACCAAGGGGCCACCTGGGCCCATGTGACAGCTGCGGCCAGCGCCTGGCGGGACTCGGTGGCCGCGTTCGAGGATAACTGGGCCCGGCTGGCCAGGGAGGCCACCGAGCTCCGTGACACCTGCAGGGACACGGCCACCAGGGAGGCCACCACTGCGGCCACCGCCAACACCCAGGCCGGGAACCTGAAAGACAAGGCTGCCCGCTGGGGGACATCTCTGCACAGCCTGGTGGCCACAGCCTGGCAGCTGCCGCTGGCCCTGGACAAGGAGGAGGTGGCCTCAGTGGTGGCCGCACACGATGCCCGTATGGAGGCGGCTGCCAACGAGGAGGAGGCGGCCACCAAGGCCATGGAAGAGGCTGTGGTGGCCGCCAACAAGGCAGAGGCAGCCACCAGGAGGGGACAGCGGGCGGAGATAGCCCTGGGACCGCTGGAGCGCTTGGTGGCCGCGTGTGACGCAGCCACCGCGTTCCCCCGGGAGCTGCAGCGCCAGCTTGGGGACATCGAGGCTGCCCTGAAGGGGACAAATGAGGCATCCCCCGATGTCCCCGAGGCTTTGGTGGCCATGGTGGCCAATGCCGAGCAGCTGTGGGAGGCCAGCGCCCGCCTGGCCACGTGTCACCTGGTGGGGGCACTTGGGGACATCCGCAGGCTCCTGTCGAGTCGCCCTGGTGGCCGTGCAGTGGCTGAGTGGTGCCAAAGAGCCACCGAGGACATCCCGAAGCTGCTGCAGGGACAGTGATGTCACTGCTGTGATGTCATTGGTGACACCATCGGAGACATCGCTGGTGTCACCCGTCCCCCTCTCACCGTCCCAGCACAGGATTTGAGCCAAGTTTGGGGAATTTTCTAGGAATTCTCATTAAAATTGTCCCAAATCATGATGGAAATTCCTGGGGTGTTGTCACTGGGGACATTTGGGGACAGGGACCAACCCAGCAAGGCCCGGTCACATAGGAGTGTTGTTTCCATGGTGATGGGGACAAATGGGGTCCTGGAAGGGGAAGCGGGGTTTTGAGGGGATGAATTGGGTCCTGGCAGGGACCCAATGAAGGGAATTAGGGGAATGAGGGTCCTGAGGGGGGAAATGGGATCCTACAGACGTCATTTAGGGTCCTGAAGGGGTAAATCGGGGTCCCGAGGGGGTAAATGGGGGTCTTGGCAGGTTGAATGAAGGTCCTGAATTCCATCTGTAGGACCCCACTGAACACTTCAGAACCCTCATTCACCCTTCCAGGACCCCATTTACCCCCTCAGGACCTTCATTTCCCTGCCAGGGCCCTGAAACCCCCACTCTCAAGGCCACATTTACCCTTCCAGGACTCCATTTCCCCTTCCGGGACCTCATTCACTCCCCCTATACAGGTTGGGCCCCCAAGCTCCGCCGCAAGCTCTGATTGGTTGGATTGGAGAAAGGGGCGTGGCCAAGCAGGTGGCGAGGTCCGATAATCGAAACCGAAATGGATACGGAGGCGGGGAGGGGGGGCGGGGGAAGAGAGGAGGGGGAGGGACACTCCAAAAATGGGATCAAGACCCCCAAAATTGCGGGAATTCCATGGGAACCCCCGAAAAATGGAACCCTGACCCTAAAATCCTGAGACTTCCCTGGAAACCCCTAAAATACTGCGAATTACGTGGAAATCTCCAAAAATGGGACCCGGGACCCTCCAGATGCCCAAACTGAGATAAAGCCTTGATTTTCCAAGGAATTATCAGTTTTCAATGCCCCAAATTGGCATAAAAAGTTGATTTTCCTGGAAATTCCTGAATTTTAATGCTTCAGATTGGGTTAAAAGTAGATTTTCCAGCGAATTCCTGATTTTCCAGCAAAAACCCGGGAATTTCCTGGACAGTCAACTTTTAATCCCAATTTGAGGCATTAAAAAAAAAGAGGCCTGAGGGGAGGATTTGGGGGTCCTGACTAGGATTTGGGGGGTCCTGAGGGGTCCTGGAATATTGTAGGAGGGGTTTTGGGAATCCCAGGGAGGATTTTGGGGGTCCTGGAGGGTTCTAGGTGGGGTTTGCTGGTGGTCAGCACGCTGCAGATGTGGCACGTGGTGGAGCCATGCTCGTAGATCCTGCGGGAGCTGGAGGGGGATGAGGCCGGCCGGGGTCATGGTGGGGCATCGTCATCGTCATGGAATATTCACAGTCGTGATGGGTCGTCGTCATTGTCGTCAGCACTGTCATGGAACGTCCGTGGTCATGAAGGGTCATCATCATCATGGAACGTCTGTGATGGTCATGAGCACATCCATGGCTGTGATGGGTCTTCACTGTCATTGTCATCATCAAAGGCCATCTATGGCCACGATGGGTCCATCTGTGGTCCTCAAGGGTCCATCCATGGTCTTGATGGGTCTTTGCCTTCATCATCATCATCATCATCATGGACCGTCGTGGCTGTCAAGGGTCCTCATCGTCATCACCTTCCTGAAGGGTCATCACCATTGTGGAATGTCCATGATGGAGATGAGTCCATCATCCACCGTCTTGCTGAGTCTTTGCCGTTATCATCATCATCACAAGCCAGCCATGGCCATGAAGGATCTCCATTGTCATCAAAGGCCAACCATGGTCACAAAGGATTTCCATCATCATCAAGGGCAGTTCATGGTAGTGAAAGGTCTCCATTGTCATTGTCACACATCATCTGCTGTCCCAATGGGTCACTGCGTGCCAACACAGTGGAGAAAGATCTTCATCATCCTCCTCCTCCTCCTCCTCATGGACCCTCAATTGTGGCCCTGTGGCTCAACCGCAGTGGAGGACCCGTGTCATTGTCATTGTCATCATGAGGTTCACACAGCAGTGAGGGGACAATCCATGGTGACATTAGGACTATCCATGGTGGGGACAGGACAATCCATGGTGACAGTGTGACAATCCATGGTGACAATAACCCTTCCTTCTCCTCCTCCTCCTCCTGGGCCACCCACACCACAACCGAGGAGCTCCTCCAGCTCTGCATGGCCACCACCACATCCCCATCTCTGCCATCGCAGGAGATCCTCAAGATCCACATGGAGGACGATGACGATGACAACGATGATGATGACAGCGATGACAATGATGACAACAACGAAGGCCCCACATGGATTGTGCTGAACGACACCAATGCTCCTCCGGCCACGCCGCCAGACCCGCCCGCCATCTTCTACATCAAACCCGAGCCGGCCACCGCTGCGGTGACCACGCCGGATATCCCACTGCTGACCAACCCGATGCTGCCCAGCTGGATGCTGGTGGACCCGCATGGCAACGAGCTCCTGTGCCACAGTGGCCACGCGGCCCGCACACCGGTGAGGCCGGGCACCGCGCCGGACCACGGGAAGCGCTCGGTGCACGGCCCAAGGGGAGCGGCGCGTCCGGCTGAGGCCGGGCTGTGGCCGTTCCCCTGTGGCCATTCTGGCTGACCATGGGCTGCAGCCATTCCCCTGTGGCCATTCCCGCTGACCCTCGAGCTGTCACCATTCTCCTGTAGCCATTCCCCTGCGGCCATTCCCCTGTGGCCATTCCCGCTGACCCTCAGGCTGCAGCTGTTCCCCTGTGGCTGTTCCCCTGTGGCCGTTCCCGCTGACCCTCGGGCTGCGGCCATTCCTGCTGACCCTTGGGATGTGGCCATTCCCCCGAAGCCATTCCCGCTGACCCTCGAGCTGTCACCATTCCCCTGTGGCTATTCCCGCTGACCCTCAGGCTGTGGCCATTCCCCTGTGGCTGTTCCCCTGTGGCCGTTCCCGCTGACCCTCGGGCTGCGGCCATTCCTGCTGACCCTTGGGATGTGGCCATTCCCCCGAAGCCATTCCCGCTGACCCTCGAGCTGTCACCATTCCCCTGTGGCTATTCCCGCTGACCCTCAGGCTGTGGCCATTCCCCTGTGGCCATTCCCGCTGACCCTCAGGCTGTGGCCATTCCCCTGTGGCCGCTGCCACCAGCGCTTGCAGCTCAGGCACCACTGGGAGAGCACAGGAAACACACAGCGGGGCCAGAGAGACTGGAGTGTGATCAGTGACCAGTATGGACCAGTACGGACTAGTATGGACCAGTATGAACCAGTGCTGGGTCTGGGAGTGACCACTGTGGCTCCCAGACCAGCCTGGGGCTCCTGTCCCAGTGCAGGCACTAGTCCCAGCTCGTTCCAGTTCCCATTTTAGCCCCTGTACTGGTTTGGGATCACTCTCAGTTCAGTCTGTACCGTTTCGGGCCCAGTTCCCAGTTTATCCCAGTTTCCAGTTCAGTCTTTACTGGTTTGGACCCAGTTCCGCGTTTATCCCCGCCCCCTCCACACCCAGCCAATCAGCGCTCTCATTCTCGAGCACAGCAGCCAATGGCAGCACAGGGCGGGTGGGGCTTCTGTTACCATAGGAACGCGCAAACGGGGGTCTCCATGGGTGAAGATGCTTCCGGGTTCCTGTTCCCGCCCTCTGCTGCTCTCAGCCAATCAGCACTCGCACAGAGGGGCACAGCAGCCAATGGCAATGCAGAAGGGGCGGGAGCAGCGTTGCCACGGGGATGGGGGGGATGGATGGTCGCCATAGCAATAGGGGAGGGAAAAGGTAAAAAAGGGAATAAAACCCGGGATTGGTGTGGGGTGGGAGAGACCGGGGGGCCTTGGGGACAGCAAGGACCCCCTGGGGACACTGGGACCCCCTTGGGGACAGCGGGACCCCTCCAGGATGGGCGTGGGGCCTTCGTGGACCCTGACTGACCCCGCCAGGACCCAATGGCTCCTCAGGACCCCGAACTGGGAGGGACTGGGCGAGGCTGGGCTGTCCCCATTGTCCCCATGTCTGTCCCCAGCTGTACCGGGCACTGCGGGTGGTACTGGGGACACCTTTGGGACACTTTGGGGGGAGTTGGGGGCACTTTGGGGACACTTTGGGGGGATTGGGGACACCTCGGGGACACCTTTGGGGAGTTGGGGACATTCCTGAGACATGTGAGGACACCTTGGGGACACCTGGAGGGCATTGGGCGGGGTTGGGGACACCAAAGAATCTCCTTGGGGACATCGGGGACACTTTGGGGACCCTCTTGGATGGTCGTGGTGGCTTTGGGGACATTGGGGGCTGGGTGGGGACTAAGTGACACGGAGCCAGGGCTGGGGCAGAGCCATGACGTCATCACCATCACAGTGACATCATCAACATCACCACAGTGACGTCACCACCACCACCACAGTGACATCATCTCTGTCCCCACAGTGCCACTGCTCCCTGATGATGTCACCTGTGTCCCTGATGTCACCGGTGTCCCCACGGGGGCGCTGGCACCGCGGGGTCCCCGAGGATGGCGGCACCGAGAGCCTGGAGCTGCGTCACCAACGGGGCCAGGGACACTGCGAGGACACATTGGGGACACTCTGGGGACACTGGGGAAACACTGGGGACACCTTTGGGGACAGGTTGAGGGAGCACTGAAGACTTTGGGGACGTTGAGAGACATTTGGGGACACTGACAGGACAGTGGGGACAGCTTGGGGACAGTGAGGGGACACCTGGGGACACATTTGGGGACATTCAGGGACATTGGGGATACATTGAAGGACATTGAAGGGAATTTGGGGACATTTAGGGACACTGGGGACATACTTGAGGACACACTGAGGGACATTTGGGGACACTCAGGGACACATTTGGGAACACACTGGGAGACATTTGGGGACACTTGACACTGAGGAGACACTGAGGACACATTTGAGGACATTTGGGGACACAGTTGTGGACACTGGGGACACACCCACCTGTGCCTGGGCGTGGCCGGGTCCTGTCCCCACCCTTGGTGGCCTGGGGTGGGCACGGGGGTGACACCCTGGGGACAGAGCCACCCCCGGTGTCCCCTCGGTGCCACCCCCTCACCTTCTCCGATGTCACCTCCGGGGCCACCGCGCTGGGGACACAGAGGGGACAGAGAGGGGACAAAGCCACTGTGTCACCAGCGGGCTCAGCGCTGCCCCGAGGGTCACCCCCTGATGTCCCCAGGGCCATGCCAATTGTCACTCACCCGCTGTCCTCTGCTGTCCCCTCCGGCTCCCGCTGCCACCGGAGCCGCCCTGAGGCCACCAGCGCTGGGGACAGAGGGGACACTGGGACAGGGACAGTAGGCACGGCCACCACAGTGTCCCCACAGTATCCCCACAGTCCCCACATTGTCCCCAAGGTGTCTCCAACCCCTGCTAAGTTGTCCCAAATGTCCCCAAAGTGTCCCCAAGGTGTTCCAGAAATGTCCTTACCTCCCCAAAGTGTCTCAAGCCCCCCAGAGTAGCCCCTGGGTGTCCCCAGGGTGTCCCCAGGTGTCCCAAAAGTGTTCCCAAAGTGTCCCCAACTCTCCAGGTGTCTCCCAGGTGTCCCCAGCCCCCACCCCAGGTGTCCCCAAAGTGTTCCCAAGGTGTCCCCAACCCCTCCCAAGGTCTCCCAGGTGTCCCCAGTCCTCCCCCCAATACCCTTGAACTGTACCCAGGTGTCCCTGCAGTGTCCCCAACTCCCCCAGGTGTCCCCAGGTGTCCCTGCAGTGTCACTGACCCCGCAGTCGGTGCTGGGCCCGTCCCAGGCGCTCACTGAGGGTCCCCAGGGCCCCAACGGCCACGGTGACATCGGCCAGGACCACGCCCAATGTCCCCAACAGCCTGGGGACAGCAATGGGGACAGACCAGTTCATCCCAGTACAAACCAGTAACCCCCAGTGTCCCCAGCACCCTGGGGGACAGTGATGGGGACAATAATGGGGACATTCCGGTTCATCCCAGTACAAACCAGTTCAGCCCAGTGTCCCCAGCAGCCTGGGGACAGCGATGGGGACAGCCCCGTCCCCCCCAGTCCCTCCCAGTTCCCTCAGTACCGGCTCAGGGCCTGGCCCAGTTTCCCCAGTTCCTCCTCGGCCGCCTCCGCCCGGAGCCGCTGCTGGGACAGGGCCTGGACACGGAACAGCCCCAGATTGTCCCCAGATGGCCCCAAGGTGTCCCCAACCCCGCAGCTGTCCCCAAGGTATCCCCTCACCTGTCTCATGTGTGTCCCCAAAGTCCCCAGGTGTGTCCCCAAAGTCCCCAGGTATCTCTTGCCTGTCCCAAGTGTATCCCCAGGTGTGTCCCCAATGTCCCCAGGTATGTCCCCAATGTCCCTCCCCTGTCCCAGATGTGTCCCCAGGTGAGTCCCCAATGTGCCCAGGTATCCCTCCCCTGTCCCAGGTGTGTACCCAGTGTCCCCAATGTCCCCAGGTGTCCCTCCCCTGTCCCAGGTGTGTCCCCAATGTCCCCAGGTGTGTCCCCAATGCCTCCAGGTGTCTCTCCCCTGTCCCAGGTGTGTCGCCGGTGTCCCCAATGTCCCCAGGTGTCCCCTCACCTATCCCAGGTGTGTCCCCGGTGTGCCCAATGTCCCCAGGTGTCCCTCCCCTGTCCCAGGTGTGTCCCCGGTGTCCCCAATGTCCCCAGGTGTCCCCTCACCTATCCCAGCTGTGTCCCCAGTGTCCCCAGGTGAGTCCCCAATGCGCCCAGGTGTCCCTCACCTATCCCAGGTGTGTCCCCAATGTCCCCAGTGTCCCCAGGTGTCCCTCCCCTGTCCCAGGTGTGTCCCCAGTGTCCCCAGGTGTGTCCCCAGGTGTCCCTCACCTGTCTCTCCTGCTCCCCCTGGCGCAGCCGCAGCTCCAACAGCGACACCTGGCGGGACCCGGCGGCCACTGCAGCCCCCAGGGAGCGCACCTGGGACAGGTGTGACACAGGTGTGACACAGGTGTGACATCCTTACAGCCCCCAGGGAGCGCACCTGGGACAGGTGTGACACAGGTGTGACATCCTTACAGCACCCAGGGAGCGCACCTGGGATAGGTGTGACACAGGTGCCATCCCTGAGGGACACAAGTTACCTGTCCAGGTGACCGCCAGACCCTCCCCAAGGGACACAGGTGTGCCAGGTGACCCCAAAGGGACACAGGTGACCCAAGAGGGTCCCCCCAGGTGTGGGGCTGGTCCCACCTGTGGGGACTCACCTGTCCCAGGTGTGGGGTGTCACCTGAGTCCCCTCACTTGTCCCCTGCGTCCCCTCACCTGTCGCAGATGTGCTCTCACCTGCCCCAGGTGTGTCCCTTACCTGTCACAGGCGTGCCAGGCTCTCACCTGTCCCTGTGTCCCCTGTGTCTGCCCACCTGTCCCCTCACCTGTCCCAGGTGTGTCCCCTCACCTGTCCCCTGTGTCCCCTTCCCTGTCCCATGTCCCCTTCCCTGTCCCACATCCCCTCCCCTGTCCCATGTCCCCTCACCTGTCCCTGTGTCCCCACCCCTGTCCTGTGTCCCCTCCCCTGTCCTGTGTCCTCTCCCCCGTCCCATGTCCCCTCCCCTGTCCCTGTGTCCCCTCCCCTGTCCCCTCACCTGTCCCTGCAGCCGCAGCTCCTGGCCCTGTTGCAGCCTCACCTGCAGCAGCAGCTGGAAAACCTTCTGGCGCCAGCGGCCCAGCAGCACCTGGGGAGAGAGAGCTCACCTGAGACCCAAAACCACACCTGGGACCCCAAAAACACACCTGGGACCCCAAAAACACACCTGGGGCACCCCCAAATATACCTGAGAGATCCCAAACACACCTGAGACCTAAAAACACACCTGGGGAACCCCACATTCACCTGAGAGACCCCAAATACTCACCTGAGACCCAAAAACACACCTGGGGCACCCCCAAATATACCTGAGAGACCTCAAACACACCTGAGACCAAAAAAAAACCACCTGGGGAACCCCACACTCACCTGAGAGACCCCAAATACTCACCTGAGACCCCAAAGACTCACCTAGGGAACCCCACACTCACCTGAGACCCCAAACTCACCTGGGGCACACCCAAATACACCTGAGAGACCCAAACCACATCTGAGACACCCCAAACACACCTGGGAAATCCAAAAATTCACCTGGGACACCCCAAACACACCTGGGGCACCCCAGTGTGTGCCCCCAACATTCCCAGGTGTGTCCCAGATGCACCCAGGTGTCCCCTCAGGAGCCTCCAGGTGTCCCCAGTATCCCCAGGTGTGTCCCAAGTCCCCCCAGGTGTGTTCAGGTGTGTCCCCAAATGTCCCCAGGTGTCCCAAATGTCCCCAGGTGAGTTATCAGGTGTCCCCAGGTATCCCAGGTGTCCCCCCAGGTGTCCCCTCCGGGGGTGGCTCCAGCCCCAAGACAAACGCAGAACACCTGGGAGAGGTGAGACTGGGGGGACTGGGAGCACTGGGAGCACTGGGAGGCCTCACCTGCTCTGGGCTTGGCTCCGCCCCCTCTGGGCCAAGGCCCCGCCCCTTCAGGGTCTCCAGCTCCATCTCCAGGATTTGGCTCCGCCCCTTTTCCGCATCCAGCTCTGCCTCCAATCGTTGGCCACGCCCCTTCAGGGCATCGAGTTCCACCCCCAGTGCTTGGCTCCGCCCCTTTTCTGACTTAAGTTCCACCTCCAGCCGTTGGCTCCGCCCCTTTTCTGCTTCAAGCTCCGCCTCCAGGTGTTTGCACTGCCTCCTTTCTGCCTCAAGCTCCGCCTCCAGGCATTGGCTCCGCCCCCTCAGTGTTTTCAGCTCTGCCTCCAATTCATGGACACGCCCCTTTTCTGCCTCAAGCTCCGCCCCCAGGGACCTGTGAGGGGGACTGGGGTTACTGGGAGCACTGGGAGGAGGAACTGGGATTACTGGGGGTTACTGGGGGTGTCTGGGAGCACTGGGAGGGGGAACTGGGATTACTGGGAGTTACTTAAAGGAGGGGTTAATGCTGTCCGGGACGTCCTGGAAGGGTAAATTAGGGTTTGAAAGGGTAAACCGGGACCCTGAGGGGGGACGGGGTCCTGGCAGGGTCAGTCAGGGTCCTGAGGGAGGAATGGGGTCCTAGCAGGGTCAGCCAGGGTCCTGAGGCGGGAATGGGGTCCTAGCAGGGTAAACCGGAGTCCTGAGGGGCCATTTTGTAATGACAGAGTCAGGGTCTCCGAAGGCCCCACGCCCATCCCCAAGGGGTCCCGCTGTCCCCAAGGATTTCCTGCTATCCCCAAGGGGTCCTTGCTGTGCCCAAGGCGGCCCAGTCTCTCCCACCCCACAGCAATCCGGGGTTTTAATTCCTTTTTTACCTTTTCCCGCTTTTCCCGCTCCAGGCCCGGTCGCCCCGTTGCCATGGCGACCGCCCGCCCCGTCCCCATGGCAACGATGCTCCCGCCCCTTCTGCATCGCCATTGGCTGTTTCGCTCCGTGAACGCTGATTGGCTAAGAGCGGCAGGGGTGGGAATAGGAACCCGGAAGCGTCTTTTCCCGTTGCCATGGCGACCCGACTCGGGCGTTCCCATGGCAACAGAAGTCCCGCCCGCCCTGCACTGCCATTGGCTGCTGTGCTCAGGCACGTGAGTGCTGATTGGCTGAGGCTTGAGGGGGCGGCGCTAAAGGCAGAAGGGTCCCCAAAAGGGTCCGCAGTGTCCCCAAAGGGAACTTTGATGTCCCCAACCTCTGCATGACCAACGCAGACGGGTCCCCAATGTCCCCAAGAGGGTCTCTGGTGTCCCCAAAAGGATTCCCGATGTCCCCAAGGCCACCACGAACATCCCAGGGAGTCCCCAATGTCCCCCCAAAAGCATCCTTGGTGTCCCCAAGGGGGCCCCCAATGTCCCCAAAGTGTCTCCAGGGGTGTCACTGATGTCCCCAGAGCATCCCCACGGAAGTCCCTGATGTCCCCAAGGCCACCATGATCATCCTGGGGGGTCCCCAAAAGGATCCTTGGTGTCCCCAAAGTGTCCCCAAGACAGTCCCTGATGTCCCCAAGGGCTCTCTGATGTCCCCAAGGCCACCATGGCCATCCCAGGGGGGTCCCCGATATCCCCAAGGGGTCCCCAAAGTCCCCATCGTGTCCGCAACCCCCCCATGGCCACCCCAGGGCTGTCCCTGGGGTGTCCCCAAGCCCCCCCAGCTCCTCCCCCCGCCCCAAATTTGGGATTTTTGACCCCAAAAAACCCCAAAATCCCCAAACTGCGCTGCCCAAATTCACTTTATTGGAGCCCCCCGGCGGCTCCGGGTCCGGGGGGGGCTCGGGGGGGCCTCGGGGACCCCAACATTTGGGGGGGGACCCCGGGGCTGTTTTGGGGTGGGATTTGGGGCTTTTTGGGGCCGGTTTGGGGTTTTTTGGGGGTTCCCTGCATTTTGGGGGGGTCTGCACCCACTCCGGGTCCTGGGGGGCTCCTGGGGGGGGTCCAGGGGGGGATTTGGGACCCCAACATTGGGTTTGGGATCCCCTGGGGGACCCCGGGGCTGTTTTGGGGTTTTTTGGGGCGGGGTTGGGGTTTTGGGGGGTTGGGGTTTTTTGGGGGGGATTTTGGGGGGGTCTCCGCCCACTCCGGGTCCTGGGGGGGCTCGGGGGAGGGGTGGACCCCCCAAAATGGGGCCGGGAATGGGTTTGGGGTGGGGTGTTTTGGGTGGGATTTGGGCGTTTCTGGGGGGGATTTGGGGTTTTTTGGGTGGGAGTTTTTTGGTTTTGGGGTGGGTTTGGAGTATTTTGGGTGGGATTTGGGGCTTTCTGTGGGGGATTTTTTCTTTTCTGGGCAGGATCTGGGGTTTTTGGGGTGGGATCTGGGGTTTTTCGGGGGGGATTTCTCCGTTTCTGGGCGGGATTTGGGGAGTTTTGAGTGGGATTTTTCTGGTTTCGGGTGGGCTCTGGGCTATTTTGGGTGGGATTTGGGGTGGGATTTTTTTGCTTTTGGGTGGGATTTGGGGTGTTTTGGGTGGGCTCAGGGGCGTTTTCGGGGGGCTGCCAGGGGCTCAGCAGGAACGGGGCCAGCTCCAGGCGCTGCCGCAGGACCCCCGAGAGCAGCAGCTCGGCCGAGAGCAGCGGGAGCCGCGCGGCCACGGCCGGGGGCCAGAGCCAGCGGTCCTGGGGACACGAGATCACCAGGACACGGGGCTGGGGAACCCCAAAAACACAGTCAGGAACCCCAAACAACCCAGTGAGAAACCCCAAATAACCCAGAGAGGAACCCCAAATAACCCAGAGAGGAACTCCAAATAACCCAGAGAGAAACAGCAAAAACCTCCTCAGAAACCCCAAATAACTCATGAGGAACCCCAAATAACCCAGAGCAAAACCCCAAATAACCCAAAGAACAGCAAAAACCCCCTCAGAAACCCCAAATAACTCGTGAGGAACCCCAAATAACCCAGAGAAAAACCCCAAATAACCCAGTGAGGAACCCCAAATAACCCAGAGAAAAACCCCAAATAAACCAGAGAAAAACCCCAAATACCCCATCAGGAACCACAAAAACCCCCAGAAACCCCAAATAATTTGTGAGGAACCCCAAATAACCCAAAGAACAGCAAAAACCCCATCAGATAACCCCAAATAACTCATGAGGAACCCCAAATAACCCAGAGAAAAACCCCAAATAACCCAGAGAGGAACCCCAAATAACCCAGAGGGGAACCCCAATAACCCAGTGAGAAACCCCAAATACCCCATCAGGAACCCCAAAAAACCCATCAGAAACCCAGAATACCCTGTGAGGAACCCAAAACCCCCAATCCCCACAATGTCCCCAATATCCCTGTGTCCCCAATGTCCCCAATGTCCCTAACCTCCCCAACATCCCCCCAATGTCCCCAATGTCCCCACTGTCCCCTGTCCCCTCACCGCATGTTCCCGGGGCAGCTGTGGCAGGAAGGTGCCACCACAGCAGGTGACAATGTCCCGCATGTCCTCGGGGCACGGCTGGACACTGGGGGTGACGTGCACCTGGTAGCCCTGGGGACAGAGAGGACATCGGGGGACACTGAGGACATTCAGGGGTTGGGGACATTGAGGGGTTCAGGAGATTGGGGGATTGGGGACGTTTGGGGGGGTTGGGATATTGGGGGCATTGGGGACTTGGGGGATGAATGACAGGACATTGAGGACATTAGGCAGGTTGGGGAGATTGGGGTATTGGGAACATTGGAGAAGTTGGGGACATTTGGGGACATTAATGTCATCATCACCTGCACGAGGGGGTGCCACCGTGCCCAGGGCTGGGTTTAGGTGACATTTGGGGACAGCTGGGGACAGTATCACCTGCAGCAGGGGCCATTCCTGGGCCCAGGGACATTGGGGACATTGAGGACACTGCTGTCACTGTCACCTGCAGCAGGGGCCATTCCTGGGCCCAGGGACATTGGGGACATTGAGGACACTGCTGTCACTGTCACCTGCAGCAGGGGCCATTCCTGGGCCCAGGGACATTGGGGACATTGAGGACACTGCTGTCACTGTCACCTGCAGCAGGGGCCGTTGCCGTGCCTGGGGGTAGCTCAGGGATGGGTTTAGGTGACATCTGGGGACATTTGGGGACATTGTCACCTGCAGCAGGGGCCGCTCCCGGGCCCGGGCCAGCGCCGGGCGCAGGCGGAAGCCGAAGCGCCGCTCACAGGGGAGGTCCCGGGGCAGGAAGGGACCAGGGGACAGCGGGCGGCCACTGTGGGAACTCTGGGGACAGCGGGGACACAGGGGTCACACACGGCCACCAGAGCCACCCCAGTGTCTCCAAGGACACCCCCTGATCCCCAGAGTCCCTTTGATTGCCCCAAGTCCTTTCTCTTGACCCCCAAGGTCACCCTCCCTTGTCACCCAAAGCCACACCCAGTCCCCAAAGTTCCAAAGTCCCCAAAGCCACCCCCACTGTCCCCAAGACCCCTCCCCTCGTCCCCAAATTCCCTCCCATTGTCCCTGAGTTCCCCCTGTCCCCAAGGTCACTCTACTGTCCCCAAGGTCACCCTCCCCCATCCCTAAAGTCCCCAAGGCCAATCCCCCTTGTCACCATGTCCTCAGTGTCCCCCTGTCCCCAAGGCCACTCCAGCTGTCCCCAATATTCCCAAGATCCCCACTGTCCCCAAGGCCACCCAATGTCCCCAAATGCCCCCCAAAGTCTCCAGTGCCACCCCCTGTCCCCAATGCCCCCAAATCCTTCTCCTTGTCCCCAAACTCCCCTCATTGTCACCAAGTCCCCCCGATTGTCCCCAACCCCCCGCTGTTCCTGATGTCACCTGCAATAGCCATTGGGGGGTGACAATGGGGACACCCCTGGTGATGGCACAGAGGAACTTCGGTGTCCCTGATGTCCCCAGTGTCCCCAATACCCCTAATTGTCTCCAATCCCCAATGTCCCCAGTCCCCAATGTCCCCAACTCCCTGATTGTCCCCAATGTCCATAACATCCCCAATATCCCCGATCCCAATTGTCCCCAATGTCCCCAATCCCACAATGCCCATCAGATGTCCCCAATCCCCCAACCCCCCTGATTGTCCCCGATGTCCCCCACCCCCTGCTGTCCCCGATGCCACCTCTAGCAGCCACTGGGGGGTGACAATGGGGACACCCCTGCCCAGGGCGCACAGGAACTTCAGTGTCCGGCGGATGCCATCGGTCACCAGGTGGCTGCAGTCGTGCACTGAGGTGGCCTCGGTGCCACCCAGCGTCCCCAGGGCCACCTGCAGCGCCGGGGAGGCCACCAGGCCGGTGAACAGCACCTGGGGACAGTGGGGACATCAGTGGAGACATCCCTGAGTGCCACCAGGCCCGTGAACAGCACCTGGGGACAGTGGGGACATCAGTGGGGACACCCCTGAGTGCCACCAGGCCTGGGGACAGGTTGGTGACAGCCCTGGGTTAGGGTTAGGGCAGTGGGGACATCTAGGGGACACTGGGACAGGTTGGGGACACATTCAGGACGCTCTGGGGACATCCCTGAGGAGTTGGGGACACCTGGGCAACACTGGAACAGGTTTGGGACAGTTTGGGGACACAACAAAGCATCGCTGGGGGACTTGGGGACACACTGGGGACATCCCCAGGTGCCACCATCCCCAGGACCAGCAGCGGGGGACTTGGGGACACTTTGGGGATATCCCCAGGTGCCACCAGCCCCAGAACAGCAGCTGGGGACACAGTGGGAGGAGGATGGGGGGCACTGGGGGCCACGGGGCGGGGTCCTGGTCTGTACTGGTCCATACTGGGAGGTCACTGGGGTGTCCCTGGGGGAGTCACTGGTCACTATGGCTCCACACTGGTCTGTACTGATCCATACTGGTCCATACTGGTCTATACTGGTCCATACTGGGAGCACTGGGTGGGGTCCCTGCTCCACACTGGGGTCAGGATTAGGAGTCACATGGGGGGGTACTGGTCTGTACCAGTCTGCACTGGTCCATACTGGCCTGTACTGGTTTGTACTGGTCTAGATTGGTCTGCACTGGTCCATACTGGTCCGCACTAGTCTATACTGGTCCCTACTGGTCTGTACTGGTCCATACAGGTCCTTACCCGGATCTGTGCGGAGCCCGGTGCTGCCCGGGGGCGGAGCCTGCGCTTGGCACCTTCTGTTAGCTCCTCCTCCTCTGGGGGTGGGGCTGAATTTGAGCCACGCCCATTTCCTTGTATGGACACTGTGGGTGTGGCCTCTTCAAGCGCTGCCACTGTTCGGTCCTGCCCCCTCTGGGGGCGTGGCTTGGGTGAGGGGCGTGGCTTGGAGCCTTGATCTTGCCCATTCTGAGTGGGGGTGGGGTCACGAGAGGCGGAGCCCCCTCCAATCTCAGCCAATCGCCGACTGCGCCGCACCTGGTGGGGAGGGGCTGCGATGGAGATCCCAAAATCCCCCAAATTCACACCAAATTCTATAGGGAACCCCCAAAATCCACCTGCCACCCCCAAAATCCCCCAAATTCACCCCAAATTCCACATGGGACCCCCCAAAATCACCCAGGATCCCCAAAAATTCACCTGAGGACCCCCCCCCAAACCACCCTGGGTCTCCCAAAATCCACTGGGAATCCCAAACCCCACTTGGGACCTCCCAAAATTCACGGGGTACCCCAAAAAATCCACCAGAACCCCTCCCCTCCCAAATCCCCGTGGGGCTCCCAAAATCACCCGGGATCCCCCAAAATTCACCTTTGGGGTGGGTGGAGCTTCTGCTTCCTCCTGGGCAGGGCTTGGGGGACCCTCAACATCTGGATTTGGGGCCACCTCCTCCACATCTGGAACTTGGGGCTCATCCAGGGCCCTTTTGGGGCTTTCCGGGCGTTCCACATCTGGGGCAGGGGGCAGGAACAGCTGGGTGGACACATCTGGATCCAGGCTGGGGCTCCCCGGGCTCTCCACATCTGAATTTGGGGTGTCCGCCTCTGCATCTGGAATTTCAGGGACTTTCGGGGCTGTTTGGGGTTTTTTTGAGGCTGCCTCATCTGGATTTGGGCCTGCCTCCTGCACATCTGGATCAGCATCCCCCAGCAACGTCCTGTGGCTACTCAGTGACCCCTTCACATCTGGATTTGGGCTCTCTGTGCCCACATCTGGAATTTTGGGTGGGTTTAGGGGACTTTTGGGTGGTTCTGGGGACCCAACACCTGGATCTGAGGGTCCTTCCCCCTCCACATCTGGATCAGGAGGCAGGAATAGCTGGGTGGCCACATCCAAGTCCTCCTCCCCCTCCACATCTGGCTCTAGGGTCTCCACCCTCACAACAGGAATTTTGGGGTCATTTGAGGCCATTTCGGGTTGGTTTGGACCCAGAACATCTGGATTTAGGCCGTCCACACCTGGGTGTGGGGGCAGGAACAGCTGCGTGGCCACATCTGGATCCGGGGAGGGCAGCCCCTCTACATCTGGAATTTTGGGGTCCTTTGGGGTAGTTTTGGGGCCTTCTGGGCTCCCAACATCTGGGGAAGGCAGGAACAGCTGGGTGGCCACATCTGGATCTGACTCCTGTTCTTCCTTCTCATCTGGATTTGGGGTTTCCTCTTCCACATCTGGAATTCTGGGAGGGTTCTGGGTAATTTTGAGTCGTTTTGGGCTCCCAGCATCTGGAGAGGGCAAGAACAGCTGGGTGGCCACATCTGGATCTGACTCCTCTTTCTCCTCCACATCTGGAATTCTGGGGTCCTTTGGGGCCGTTTTGGAGCTTTCTGGGCCCCCAACTTCTGGAGAGGGCAGGAACAGCTGGGTGGCCAGGTTTGGATCTGACTCCTCTTCCTCCTCCACATCTGGAATTTCTCGTGGTTTCTGGGTCATTTTGAGTCGTTCTGGGCTCCCAACATCTGGATCTGCCTCGGCCTCCCCCACATCTGGATTTGGGGGCAGGAACAGCTGGGTGGCCACATCTGGATCCCACTCTTCCTCCTCTCCCGCCACATCTGGCGTTGCGGCCACATTTTTGGTCCTTTGGAACCTCCCAACGTCTGGAGTTTTGGGCACATTTTGGGTAATTTTCGGTCTTTTTGAAGGCTGAACATCTGGATCAGCCTCATCCTCCTCTTTCTCCTCCACATCTGGAATTCTGGGGTCCTTTGGGGCCGTTTTGGAGCTTTCTGGGCCCCCAACTTCTGGAGAGGGCAGGAACAGCTGGGTGGCCAGGTTTGGATCTGACTCCTCTTCCTCCTCCACATCTGGAATTTCTCGTGGTTTCTGGGTCATTTTGAGTCGTTCTGGGCTCCCAACATCTGGATCTGCCTCGGTCTCCCCCACATCTGGATTTGGGGGCAGGAACAGCTGGGTGGCCACATCTGGATCCCACTCTTCCTCCTCTCCCGCCACATCTGGCGTTGCGGCCACATTTTTGGTCCTTTGGAACCTCCCAACGTCTGGAGTTTTGGGCACATTTTGGGTAATTTTCGGTCTTTTTGAAGGCTGAACATCTGGATCAGCCTCATCCTCCTCCACATCTGTGTCACTCTCCACCACCAAGGCTCCACATCTGGATTCAGCGCCTCCAACAACTGGATTTGGGGTAAGTGTGGGCACATCTGGAGTTTCGAGCACATTTTGGGCAATTTTCTGTCTTTTTGAGGGCTGAACATCTGGATCGGCCTCATCCTCCTCCACATCTGGGTCGCTGTCCACCAGCAGCATACTACACCCAATTTTTGTGCCTGAAACATCTGGATTTGGTGGTTTCAGCCTCATATCTGGAGTTTCAGGCACATTTGGGGCTTGTTTCACTCTTTTTAGGGATCCAACATCTGGATTTGCCGCCTCCTCCTCCACATCTGTGTCGCTGTCGTCCAGCAGCGCCCGGTGACCCCTCTGTGACCCCTTCACACCTGGATTTGGGGGCTGTGTGGGCACATCTGGAGTTTGGGGCACGTTTTGAGGACTTTCCCATCTTTTTGCAGGGGAAACATCTGGATCACTGCCCACCAGCAGTACCTGGCACCCATTCTTGGCCATTCCAACATCTGGATTTGGGGTCTGTGACACCACATCTGGACTTTCAGGCACATTTTGGGTCATTTCAAGCTCTTTTAGGGTCTCAACATCTGGATTCACCTCCTCCTCCACATCTGTGTCACTGTCCACCAGGAATGTCTGGCACCTGATTTCAGGGCCTGCAACATCTGGGTTGGGGGGCTTTGCAGCCACATCTGGAGTCTCAGGGACGTTTTGGGTCGCTCTGAGCCGTTTCAGGGGCTGCACATCTGGATCCTCCTCCACATCTGTGTCACTGTCCACCAGGAATGTCTGGCACCTGATTTCAGGGCCTGCAACATCTGGGTTGGGGGGCTTTGCAGCCACATCTGGAGTCTCAGGGACGTTTTGGGTCGCTCTGAGCCGTTTCAGGGGCTGCACATCTGGATCCTCCTCCACATCTGTGTCACCTCCTCCTCCTCTACATCTGTGTCACCGTCCACCAGGAATTTCTGGCACCTGATTTCAGGGCCTGCAACATCTGGGTTGGGGGGCTTTGCAGCCACATCTGGAGTCTCAGGGACGTTTTGGGTCGCTCTGAGCCGTTTCAGGGGCTGCACATCTGGATCCTCCTCCACATCTGTGTCACTGTCCACCAGCAGCATCTGACACCTGATTGTGGGGCCTGAAACATCTGGATTTTGTGTCCCCCATCGCACATCTGGAGTTTTGGGCACATTCTGGGTCCTTCTGAGCCTTTTGGGGGGCTGCACATCCAGATCCTCCTCCACATCTGTGTCACTGTCCTCTACCAGCGTCTCATGCCCGATTTTGGGCCTTTCCACAGCTGGATTTGGGGTCGCCACCTCGACATGTGGAATTCTGGGCATGTTTTGGGTCACTTTGAGCCTTTTTGGGGGCTGCACATCTGGATTCACTTCGTCTTCCACATCTGTATCGCTGTCCACCAGCAGCATCCAGGAATGGAGTTTTGTGCCTGAAACATCTGGATTTGGGGCCGTTGCTGCCACATCTGGCATTTCGGGCACATTTTGGGTCATCCTGAGTTGTTTTGGGGGTTGCACATCTGGGTTCTCCTCCTCCCCCTCCACATCTGTGTCTCTGTCCATCAGCATTGTCCAGTGTCTAGTTTTGGGTGTGCCCACAGCTGGACTTGGGGTTTCCACCTCCACATCTGGAATTCCAGGCATGCTTTTGATCACTTTGAGCCTTTTTGGGGGTGGCACGTCTGGATCCTCATCCACATCCGTGTCACTGTCCACCACCTGCATTCCACAAGGCAGTTTTGGGGCTGAAACATCTGGATTTGGGGTCTTTCCTGCAACATCTGGAGTTTCGGGCACATTTTGGGTAATTTTCAGTAGTTTTGGGGGCTCCACTTCTGGATCAGCCTCCTCCTCCTCCACATCTGTGTTGCTCTCCACCAGCAGTGTGCCATACCCATTTTTAAGCCGTAGAACATCTGGATTTGGGGTTTTCAGCCCCACATCTGGAGTTTCGGGAACACTTTGGGTCATTTCAAGCCGTTTTTGGGGCTCAGCATCTGGATCTGGCCCCTCCTCCTCCACATCTGTGTCGCTGTCCACCTGCAGTGTCCGGTGCCCATTTTTGGCCCACAGCACATCTGGATTTGTGGTCTCTGCTGCCATATCTGGAGCCTCTGAAGTGTTTTGGGCCACTTTGGGCGTTTTCAGGTCCCCAACATTTGGATCTGGCCCCTCCCCAATCACATCTGGGGCGTTTCGGGGGCAGGGAAGGCGTTTTTGGGGGCCCTCAACATCTGGGGGCACAGCTGGATCCTCCAGGGCACTGCAAAGGGGGGTTGGGGGGGCTCAGGATCTCCCAAGGATCCCAAAAATAACCCAAAGAGCCCCAAAACCCCTTTGGGAACTCCACAAACTGCCCCCAAACCCTCCGAATTGCCCCAAGGACACCCAACCCCCCCCCCCCCCCCCCGAGAACCCCCCCAAAAAGCACCCAGAAACCCCCAAGCTGCCCCCAAAGGACCCAAACCACCCCAGAGGCCCCAGACCCCTGCCTGGGACCTCCCAAACTGCCCCAAAAAGACTCAAAGCAAACCCAGGGACCCCCGAAATGTCCCAGGGATCCCCCCCAAAACTCCCCAAGCTGCACCCAAATGACCCAATATCCCACAAGGATCCCCCAAAACTGCAGCCCCAAAGCCCTGAAATCCCCCCAGGGACCTCCAAGCCTTCCTCAAGAAGCCCAAATTCCCTCACACGACCCCCAGCATCCCTCAGGGAGCCCAAATTCCCTCATGGAATCCCCAACTCCCCTCATGGAACCCCAAATTCTCTCACAGAACCACCAACCCGTGTCACAGACCCCAAATTTTCCTCAGGATACCCAAACGTCCCTCGGGAACCCCAAATTCCCACACAGAAACCCAAACCCCCATCAGGGGGGCCCCAAACTCCCCTCAGGACACTTCAACACCCTCAAAAAGCCCAAACTTCCATCACGGAAGCCCCAGTTCCCCTCATGGACCCCAAACCTCCCTCAGACACAGCCAACCTCCCTCATGGACCCCCAAATTCCCTCATCAAGTCCCAACTCCCCTCAGGAAAACCCAAATTTCTCTGCGGAACGCCAAATTGCAAAACCAAGCCCCCAAACTTCCCTCAGAGACCCCAAACTTTCCTCAGGAACCTCCAACCCCCGTCACAGACCCCCCACAATCTCCCTCAGGGAGTCCCCAAAGCTGACCCTGAGGCCCCAGTCCTCACCAAGCACCGCTCCAACCCCCGCTGTCACCTCCAAATCCCTCCAGGAGATTCCAGAACCCCCTCGGACCCCAAATCCCCCAAAATTCCCTCAGGGACCCCAAAAGCGGCCCCGGCTTCCCCCCCGCTCACCCCTCCCGCGCCATCACCGCCGGGCCGTGCCCCTCGCGCTCCCATTGGCCGCTCTCTCCGCGCGCCAACGCCCATCTGCACTTCCCATTGGCTGTGGTGCCTGTCGATCATCGCCAGACCACAGAGACGGGACGGGATGGTCCTCCGAGAGCACCGGAGCGTCGGTGGGAGGGGCTAAAGAGAGGTTTAAACCAATTGAAGTGCAGAAATCTGTATTGACAACAAGATTAACCAATAGAAGCATGGAAAGCGGGCGGTGCCGACCAATGGGAGCCCCGGCTTTGTCCTATATGAGAGCGCGCCGGGCCGCGGCTGCCGCCATTTTCACTGCCGTCGCGCTCGCGCCTTCTCTCCACTCTTAAAGGGGCCGCGCCGCCTCTTTACGTTTTTTTATTCGGTTTTCCAAGCGCCTCCGCGCCGTCCGGGTGGGTCCGAGCCCCCCCGCCAGACTCCGCCGCCGCCATGAGGGAGATCGTCCACATCCAGGCGGGCCAATGCGGCAACCAGATCGGCGCCAAGGTGAGCGCAGTGGGCCCCGCCTCCATCCCCCGCCGCGGCGGCGTTGCCTCTTTAAGAGCCCCCCCATCCCCCGCGCGCCAAGACAAAGGGTGACCCAAACCAGGGCGATTTTACCCCAAAATCGGCGTTTTCCCCCCACAAAAGCGTCCGTGAGGGAAGGGGGCGGTGCTGAATGGGGTGGGTTTGGGGTGAAAATGGGGAGAATTTGTCGCTGAATGAGCATTTTCGGTGGCCGAACGCGCACCCCCCCACACGCGGCCGCAAAATGGCGGCTGAGGGCGGCGTCCCCGAACCGCGGCGAATTCACCTCCAAAATCGCCTTTTTTGTAGTGTTTAAAGAAAAATATTACTATTTTATCTAATTTGAGTGACTGTTTCAAAGATTTGGCCGCGAATGGTGCTTTTTGCCCGTAATCGAGGGGGTCTGGCTGAGGATGGGCGGGGAAGGCGCCAAAATGGCGGCGAGGAGCCCCGAAATTAAAGGATTTAACCCCAGAATTAAGTGTTTCACAAAAATATATTTATAATTAAATTTAAAACCTGATGTGTTTCGTTTTTAAAACACCATATTTTAAATGCTGCTTTTTCAGATTAAAATCGGTTGTTTTCACCCCTTAATAGGGTATTTTCTCCCCTAAAATCGGCTATTTTCACGGCAAAACCGTCCAATTTTACCTCAAAAATGTGGATTTTGTGCACCAAAATAGAGATTTTTGACCCCCAAACGGGGCGTGACGCTCGGAGGGGTCAGACCCGAAAATGAGAGAATTTAACACATTAAAAAACCGCTTAATATCCACAATAAAGATTTTCATTCAATAAATAAGAGGCGTGTTCCCATTTTTTGTTCTAAAATTTGGATTTTTTTTTTTTATTCCGTAAAATAAAGATTTTTAAGCTTCCTTTAAACTGCAGGATTTTATGACCCAAACTGCTTTTTATTCCTTAAATGTGGATTTGGAGTCTTTAAATTGCAATGTTCATCTCCAAAATTGCTGGGTTTTGTACTTTGAATCAGCTTTTTCCTCTGAAATGCCCGTTTTACACGTAAAAATGAATTATTTTGTTGTCAAAAAAATACATTTTAATTCTCAAAATGTTAATATTTTGGATTTAAGTGATTTTTTTTTTCATTAATGTAGGATTTTTTGCTGCCAAAGTGCAGCTTTTCGGCCCAAAAAAACCTTTTTTTTTTCCAGCCCCAAAATGGAGCTTCGGAGCTCCAGCTCAGCATCTTTGTTTCATAAAACAGCATTTTGGTACAAAATCAAGATTTCTATCCCCAAAACGTGGAGTTTTGAGCAGAAAAACGGCTGGATTTCTTTTCCCGAAGTAGAATTTGGGGTTAAAATCGGGATTTTCTGCAGCTTGGAGGGAGTTCCCAGCCCCAAAATGGAGGTTTCCAGCCCCAAAATGGAGGGTCGGGGGAAGAATCGCAGCTTTGTGCTCTCAAATTCGCTTTTTTCTTACTTCAAAATCACCGTTTTTTCTCCAAAATTAACGTTATATAGTTTTTTTTCTTAATTTTTTTTTTTTTAGTACAAATTGGTGGGTTTTGCCCAAAAAAGCGTTGTTTTAGGCCTCGGAATTTACAGTTCTTCACAACTTTTTCTCCAAAATTAACGTTATATATTTTTTTTCTTAATTTTTTTTTTTTTTTTTTAGTACGAATTGGTGGGTTTTGCCCAAAAAAGCGTTGTTTTAGGCCTCGGAATTTGCAATTCTTCACAATGGAATATCACTTGTGCTGCTGTAAAAATCGACTTTTTTTCCACTGAATGTTCACTTACCCACAAAACGGCCTCCTTTAACCCCATATTTCTTTTTTTTTGTCTTTTTCAAATGTAACTTTTCGTCGCAAAATCGCCCTTTTTAGCCCCAACCCCCTCTCTTTGTGTCTCCAGACCGCATTTCCTGCCCCCGAAATGTGCATTTCCATTTCCTGCCCCACATCGAAATCTTTGTTCTCCAAAACGCCTCAAGTTGGAGTTTTTAACCTTAAAAAGCTTGGGGTTTTTTTGTTTGTTTTTTTTTTTTAGTTTTGGGAAGGAGGTTTTGAACCGAAATTGTGATTTTGAGGCCCAAAAAAGGATTTTTACCATATAGAAAATATTGGTGTTTAACAGGTCAAATTTACTCTCAAAAATGGTGTTTTAGCCCAAAATTCTTAAGTTTTACCCTTAAATATTCTTGTTCCCTTATAATCCATATTCCTGTCGTTAAACTCTCCATTTCTACACCAAACTCACATTTTTTCGTGAAAAATTGTAAATTTTAACCCTGTGTTTCCCAAGGCTTCAAAATGCAGGAATTTTTTTCCCCAAAAAATGCTGATTATTCAACTTTGATATTTATAAACTCATTTTTTTTCCTCATTTGCCCAAAATCTCAATTTTTACCTCAAATTAACTTTTTTCGGAGCCATTTATTTTCTACATTCCCTGAAACTGCCCTTTTTTAACCCATTTGTCCCATCAGCCCCAAAAATCCATATTTTTTAACCCATTTTTACTCACAGCCCCCTAAAACACTGGATTTTAACCAATTCCTTAGCCCCAAAATGAACATTTTAAGCCCATTTTTCCACTATTTTTTTTACCTGACATCGCTGGTTTTTAATCCCATTTTCCCCCTCACTTCCAAAATTGACATTTTTAACCACTTTTTTCTCAGACCCAAAATTGTGGTTTTTTTAAATACATTTTTCCCTCATAATCACCAAACCACCATTTTTATTTCAAGTCACCATTTTTTATCTCTTTTTTTGAATTAATCATCTCAAAATTAATGGTTTTTTTAACCCAAATTAATATTTTGATCAGTTTTTTTTTCCACAGTCCCCAAATCCCCATTTTTTGTACATTTTTCATCTTTAACCCCAAAATTGCATTTTTTCACCTCATTTTCCCCTCACGCTGCGTTGCCCCCCCCCGGCCCATTTTAACCCAAACCCCCACATCTGTGGAATTTCATCTTCAAATACAAAACGTGGAGCTCCCCGAGCCGAATTTGGGTATAAAAATCCTGATTTTGGGTGATGAAAAAGCCGTTTTGGGGTGCAAAAAGCCGATTTTGGAGCGGTTGGTTTGAATTTTAACGAGTTGCCGCCATTTTCCCGCGTTCCCGCCCTTTTTGGGGAGCGGGTCCGCGCCGCCTTGGCCACGCCCCTCCCTCACAAAGCTCCGCCCACTTCCCTTCCCCACACCTCAAACCACAAAAAAACTCCTAAAAATCGCCTTTTTTACCCCAATAAGGGTCGTGGAGTGGCTGTGGGTTGCAGCCACATCCTTTTAGGACCATATCACACTCTAAATTTATTTTTCAAGTTGCCAAAATCCCCATTTTTCAACCCAAAACAGGGCCTGTCTGTGGGGGAGGTCTTGTGGACTCCGCCTGTCATTTGGCCATGCCCCCAAATTTCTTTAAATCCCTACATTCTTCCGTCTTTCCCCAAAAATGCTGCCCAGGGGAGGTGGGTGGGGTTGGATTTACATCTCATTATTCTTACAAGGTACCAGAAGCCCCTTTTTTGTCCCCAAAACCCTTTTTTTCTCCCCAGAATAAATAACAGATGTTGCAAAGTGGGGCTGGCCTGCGTCCCCAGTCCCTCCACAATGCCTCCAATTTCCATTTAAACCCCAGATTTTTTTTCCTTTTAACTCTGGATTTTTTTGTGACTTCTTAAGTGCCACGTCCTGCCTTAAAATCCCAGTTTCTTACCCTAAAATACATGAATTTTTTTAGCCCCAGATCTTCATTTTCTCCCTCAAAATGGGGTCCCAGGTGTATCAAAGTGGCTGTGGCCCAGCTGCCCCCACCTATCCTTTAGCTTCATCCCTTTAACCCCAGTCACAGCCCCAGCCTCTATTCACTACCCAAAAATCTCAGGTTTTAACCCCCAAATCCCCTTCCCCCCCCCCAAACCCTTTTTTTTTCCCCAAAATTGAGTCTGCCTTGGGCATGGCCCAGCTGACCCCACACCCCCAAACCACCATTTCCTACTCAGATATTCCCATTTCTCCCCCTAAAATCCCAATTTTTTCTCCACATCCTGATTTTTCCCCCAGCTCAGGTCTCATTTGTCACAAAGTGGGTGTGGCCAAGCTCATCCCACTCCTCCACAAGCCCTTTTACCCACCCCCAACCCCCCTTTTCCCCCCTAAAATCCCCATTTTTCTTCCCAAAACCTTGCGGTTTCTTTCCCCAAATTCTCAGGTTTTGCCCCAAACCCACTCGTGGGCTATCCCTGAGCTGTCCCCAAGCTGTCCCCTTGTCCCCACAGTTCTGGGAGGTGATCAGTGACGAGCACGGCATCGACCCCACGGGCACCTACCACGGGGACAGCGACCTGCAGCTGGACCGCATCAGCGTCTACTACAATGAGGCCACAGGTGGGGACAGCTGGTGGCACTTGGGGACAGCTGCCACACCCCCCAGGACTCCTCTGCCCTTCCCCCTCTCATTGTGTCACTCGTTAGTGCTGGGTGGCACTTGGTGGCATTTGTCATCTCCCCAGTGTCACTTGTCCCGCTGTCATCCCCCCCAGTGTCACCTTCCTTTGTTTGTCACTTTCCTCTGCTGTCACTTTGTTGCTTCCAGTGCCACCTCTTCACCCCCACCTTGTCATTCTTTGCTTTGTCACCCTCCTCATCCTCCCCCCTGTCACCCTGTCCCCAGTGTCATTCCCCCAATGTCACTTTCCTGTATGTTATCACTTTATCATCCCTATGTCACTGCGTCCCCATGGTTCCCCCTCGGTGTCACCTTTGTCCTGCTGTCACCTCCCAGTGTCACTTTGTCCTTGTCTGTGCCCTGTGCCACCTCATCTCCTGGGTCCCTGAGTGCCACTCCTTTCTTTGTCACACCAGTGGGGTCACCTTGTTCTGTCACCTCGCAGTGTCATTCCTTGTCACACCTCAGTGTCACTTGTCCATTGTCACCTCACAGTGTTGCCTTGTCCCCTGTCACCTTCAATCCTGGGGATCCCCTGGTGTCCATTGCCACCTCCTGTGTCACCCTGTGACCCTCCTGGTGTCACCTTGCAGTGGCACTCCCCTGGTGTCGCAGCATCCTGACCCTTCCCAGTATCACCCTGTCCTCTGTCACCCACCCAGTGTCACCTGTCTGTTGTCACCCCCCAGTGTCCTCTGTGACCCCTCACCCTGTCCCCAATGTCCCCGCCTACCCCATGTCACCTCTCCATTGTCACCTTGTCCCTGATATCCCCGCAGTGTTGACTGTCCTTTGTCACCCCTCTGTGTCACCTGTCCCCTGTGTCCCCTCTGCAGTGTTTCCTGTCCACTGTCATTTGTCTCCTCCCTGTCCCTGTGTCCCATTCTAGATTGCTCTGGGGGAGTTTTTGGGGTGGCTTTAGGGAATTTGGGGTGAATTTGAGACTTTAGGGGTTATTTTGGGGTTGGTTTGAGATGATTTTGGGGTAATTTTGAGAGGCTTTGGAATTATTTTGGGGGTTAATTTGGGAGGTTTTAGGGTGATTTTGGGTGGTTTAGGTTATTTGGGCTGGTTTTGGGGTGAGTTTGGGTGTTTGGAAGTGCTTTAGGGGGTTGAGTTTTGGGGAGGTCTGGATTGGATTTAGGTCATTTTGGGGCATTCTGGGGCAATTTTGGGTGCTTCAGAGTGATTTTGAATATTTTAGGGTTGGTCAGAAGTGGGATTGAGGTGATTTTAGATGGTTTGGGAATTATTTTAAACATTTTGGAGTAATTTGGGAGGTTTTGCAATTCATTTTGGGTAGATTTGCAACCATTTTTGGGGTGATTTTTCCTGGGTTTGGGGTGAATTTGGGTGATTTGGGGTAATTTTGGGATGGTTTGGGGGTGATTGTGGATGTTTTGAGGGTGAATTCAGGTGGATTTGGGGTGGTTTTGAGGTGATTCCAGATATTTATGTGCTAATTCTGGGTGGTTTGGGGGTGATTTTGGCTCCTTTTGGGGTTGATTTTTGGTGTTATTCCAGATGTTTTGAGACATTTCTTGTTGCTATCGGGGTGGGTGTTTTGGTGTCAGGGTGGCTTGGGATATTTTGGGAGCAATTTTTGGTATTTCTGGGTTAACTGAGCATTTTGGGGGTAATTAGGGGTGGTTTTGGGGTAATTCCAGGTGGGTTTGAGGTGATTTTGATGGTTTTGAGATAATTCTGGGTGTTTTGGGGTAATTCTAGGTTGGTTTGGGTTGCCTTTGGGGTATTTCCTGGTGGTTTTGGGGTAACTTTGGGAGGTTTTGGGGTGCTTTTTAAGTAGTACTGGATTGTTTTGGGCTATTTCCAGGTGTTATCTTGTAATTCAGGTGTTTATTGGGTAATTTGGGTGTATTTAGGTTGATTCTGGGTGGTTTGGGGTTAATTCTGGGTGATTTTGGGTTCAATTCTCTGGGTTTTGGTGACATTTTTGTTGTCCCCAGGGGGCAAATATGTGCCCAGGGCCATCCTGGTGGATCTGGAGCCTGGCACGATGGACTCTGTGCGCTCCGGCCCCTTCGGGCAGATCTTCAGGCCTGACAACTTTGTGTTTGGTGAGTGACACACCTGGGACACCTGGGATATACCTGGGGACATTGGGGGCACATCTGGGACACCTTGGGCATGGCTGGGGAAATTGGGACATACTTGGGGATACCTGGGACACCTTGGGCATGCTTGGGGACATCTGGGACACCTGGGGGCACATCTGGGGACATCTTGGGCCTGCCTGGGGACATCTGGGACACACCTGAGGACATTTGGAGATTCCTGGGGACATTGGGACACACCTGGGGAGATCCTGAGGGACACCTGGGGATGCTCAAGATATCTGGGGACTCTTGGCACATAGCAAGGACAGCTGTGAACAGCTGGGACACACCTGGGGACATTTTGGGACATGACTAGGGACACCTGATGTTTCCTGAGGGCATCCTGGGGACACCTGGGGGTTGCTGAGGGACATTAGGGATACCTCTGGGTATTTGGGGGACACTTGGGGACTCTTGAGGAATTGGGACATACTTGGGGATACCTGGGACACCTTGGGCATGCTTGGGGACATCTGGGACACCTGGGGGCACATCTGGGGACATCTTGGGCCTGCCTGGGGACATCTGGGACACACCTGAGGACATTTGGAGATTCCTGGGGACATTGGGACACACCTGGGGAGATCCTGAGGGACACCTGGGGATGCTCAAGATATCTGGGGACTCTTGGCACATAGCAAGGACAGCTGTGAACAGCTGGGACACACCTGGGGACATTTTGGGACATGACTAGGGACACCTGATGTTTCCTGAGGGCATCCTGGGGACACCTGGGGGTTGCTGAGGGACATTAGGGATACCTCTGGGTATTTGGGGGACACTTGGGGACTCTTGAGGGACATCAGGTTCGCTTCAAGACACACTTGGGGACACGCAGCAATATTTGGGGCAGCTGGGGACGTGTGGGAACACACCTGGGACAGCGGGGGGTGGCCTCAAGGGATGGTATGGTCCCAAAGGGGAGATGAAGGTCCCCAGGTGTCCCAAGGGTGGGAGTGAAGGTCCCAAGGGTGGCATGAAGGTCCCCAAGTATCCCACCAAGGTGGGTTCACAGGTCCTCAGGTGTCACCAGGGGTAACACAAAGGTCTCCAAAGTGAGGTAAAGGTCCCCAAGTGTCCCCCCAAGGTGGGTTTGAAGATCCTTAAAGGTTCTCAAGGGTAGAGTGAAGGTCCCAAAGAGAGGGTTCAGGATCCCAACTTGTCCCCAAGGTGGAGTTTTAGGTCCCAGAGGATTCCCAAGCTGGGGTTGAACCTCCCCGAAGGGTGGGGTGGAAGGTCCCCAGGTGCCGCCCCCAGTGTGGGTTTGGAGGTCCCTGAGGACCCCACAGGTGGGGTCAAGGTCCCTTAAGGGTGATGTGAAGGTCCCCGAAGAGGGGACAGAAGTGCTTGAGGTCCCCAAGAGTGGGAGGAAGGTCCCGAAGGTGAAGAGTTGCCCACGGTCCTCAAAAGTGGTTTGAGGGTCCCCAAAGTCTTAGCATTAACCTGAAGATCTTCAAAGGTGATTGCAGGTTCTTCAAGGTTCCCAAAGGTGTTTTGAGGGTCCCTAAAGTCACCTCAAAGACCCCAACCCAACTCTTCCTCATCTGCACCTGGCCAAGGGTCACCACAGGGAGGGGCTGAGCTGGGGGGGGGGGGGGTGTCAAGGGTCCTCAGAGGTGCCTCAAAGGTCCCCAAAGATGGTTTGAAGGTCCCTCAAGTGGCTTGAATATTTTCAAGGTGGAAATGGAGGTGCTCATCATCAATCAAAGTTGATTCGAGGGTCTTCAAGGTCATTAAGGTTGGGTTGAGGGTCCCTAAAGATGGTTTGAAGCTTCCTAAGGTCCCCAAAGGTGCTCCAAGGGTTTCCAGGTTTGAGGGTCCCAAAGATTATCAAGGCTGGTTCAGAGTTCCTCAAAGGAGATTTTGAGGCTCCCCAAGCTAGTTTTGAGGTTCTTGAAGTCCCTAAAGACGGTTTAAAGGTCTCCAGAGTTGGTGTAAATGTTCTCAAAAGTGGTTTGAAGGTTCCCAAAGGTGCTTTGAAGGTTTACAGAGGTGGTTTGAAGACCCAACCCAACCTTTCCATCCCTTTTCCAGGCCAAAGCGGTGCCGGCAACAACTGGGCCAAGGGTCACTACACGGAGGGCGCCGAGCTGGTGGACTCGGTGCTGGACGTGGTGCGCAAGGAGGCCGAGAGCTGCGACTGCCTGCAGGGCTTCCAGCTGACCCATTCCCTGGGCGGCGGCACCGGCTCGGGCATGGGCACGCTGCTGATCTCCAAGATCCGCGAGGAGTACCCCGACCGTGCTGCACTTCTTCATGCCCGGCTTTGCGCCGCTGACCTCGCGGGGCAGCCAGCAGTACCGCGCCCTCACCGTGCCCGAGCTCACCCAGCAGGTCTTCGACGCCAAGAACATGATGGCCGCCTGCGACCCGCGGCACGGCCGCTACCTGACGGTGGCCGCCGTCTTCCGCGGGCGCATGTCCATGAAGGAGGTGGACGAGCAGATGCTGAACGTGCAGAACAAGAACAGCTCCTACTTCGTGGAGTGGATCCCCAACAACGTGAAGACGGCCGTGTGCGACATCCCGCCGCGCGGCCTCAAGATGGCCGTCACCTTCATCGGCAACAGCACGGCCATCCAGGAGCTCTTCAAGCGCATCTCGGAGCAGTTCACGGCCATGTTCCGGCGCAAGGCCTTCCTGCACTGGTACACGGGCGAGGGCATGGACGAGATGGAGTTCACCGAGGCTGAGAGCAACATGAACGACCTCGTGTCCGAGTACCAGCAGTACCAAGATGCCACGGCCGAGGAGGAGGAGGATTTCGGCGAGGAGGCCGAAGAGGAGGCCTGAGGGGTTTCTCCAGAGGTCCTGATCCTCGGCAGTGTTGCTCCTCCCCTTCCCGGTGTGTTGTCCCAGAGAGGCGTCAACCGGTGGGCGGCGCCTTCGGTGTCATCATCATTGTCCTGCATCATCGTCAGTGTTGGCCTTGGTCATCGGCGGCGGCAGCGGAGTCCCCACCCGACCTTCAGCGTTGCCCTGACGGTCTTCAACCTTCATCATCATCATCCTGGCCCGGCTTTGCGCCGCTGACCTCGCGGGGCAGCCAGCAGTACCGCGCCCTCACCGTGCCCGAGCTCACCCAGCAGGTCTTCGACGCCAAGAACATGATGGCCGCCTGCGACCCGCGGCACGGCCGCTACCTGACGGTGGCCGCCGTCTTCCGCGGGCGCATGTCCATGAAGGAGGTGGACGAGCAGATGCTGAACGTGCAGAACAAGAACAGCTCCTACTTCGTGGAGTGGATCCCCAACAACGTGAAGACGGCCGTGTGCGACATCCCGCCGCGCGGCCTCAAGATGGCCGTCACCTTCATCGGCAACAGCACGGCCATCCAGGAGCTCTTCAAGCGCATCTCGGAGCAGTTCACGGCCATGTTCCGGCGCAAGGCCTTCCTGCACTGGTACACGGGCGAGGGCATGGACGAGATGGAGTTCACCGAGGCTGAGAGCAACATGAACGACCTCGTGTCCGAGTACCAGCAGTACCAAGATGCCACGGCCGAGGAGGAGGAGGATTTCGGCGAGGAGGCCGAAGAGGAGGCCTGAGGGGTTTCTCCAGAGGTCCTGATCCTCGGCAGTGTTGCTCCTCCCCTTCCCGGTGTGTTGTCCCAGAGAGGCGTCAACCGGTGGGCGGCGCCTTCGGTGTCATCATCATTGTCCTGCATCATCGTCAGTGTTGGCCTTGGTCATCGGCGGCGGCAGCGGAGTCCCCACCCGACCTTCAGCGTTGCCCTGACGGTCTTCAACCTTCATCATCATCATCCTGGAAGAGTCCCCAGCCTTCAGCATTGTCCTCACGGTCCCCAGGCTTCACCATCATTGAAGAGTCCCCAATCTTCATCATTGTCATCCTTGAAGAGTCTCCAATCTTGATCATGGTCAGAGCTCCTAACTTCTGTTCTCATCTTTAAAGAGTTCCCAATTTTCATCAGCACTGAAGAGTTCCCAACCTTCATCATCATCTTTGAAGAGTCCCCAGCCTTCAGCATTGTCCTCACAGTCCCCAGCCTTCATCATGGTCATTCTTGAAGAGTCTCCAGTCTTCATCATCATTGAAGAGTTTCCAGTCCTGATCATGGTCAGAGCTTCCAACTTCCATCATTGTTGAAGGATCCCCAAGGTTCATCATTGTCAAGAAGTCCCCAGCCTTCATCATCCTTGAAGAGCCCCCAGAGTTCATCATGGTCCTTGCAGAGTCTTCGATCTTCATCATCCTCAGCCCTTGGTCTTCATTGGGGCTGGTCAGTTGGCCTTGCCCTTCATCATAATCATCTTCATCATGGAAGAGCCTCCAACAAGAGTTTTTGACCTTCACTCTCATCATGGAAGAATTGTGGACCTTCATCATCATTGTGGAAGATTCCTTGACCTTCATCAGGGTTGGTCTCTTGGCTTTGACCACCATCATCCTCATCATGGAAGAGCCTCCAAGAGCTCTTGACCTTCAGCCTCATCCTGGAAGAGTTGCTGACCTCCATCATCATCATCATGATCATCATCACCTCTGCCCCTCCCCCGCTGCCACCACGGCCTCCTGTCCCCTCCCCCGCTCCACTCTGGCACCGTTTCCTCCCTTTTTTTTGTCATTTTTCCCAAATTTTCTTAATTTTTCCCAATTCTTTCTTTTTTTCCCTCCTACTTTTTGTCATTTTTCATATTTTTTGTCATTTTTCCCCCCTTTTGGTAAATTTTTCCTCCTTTTTCCCCTCATTTCAGTCTCATCATTTTTGATCATTTTTCCTCATTTTTGGTCAGTTTCTCCATTTTTGGTCTTTCCATTTTACCAATTTTTGCTCTTTTTTCCCCTGTTTTTGCTCACTCAGCCCAGTTCCATTCCTTTTTCCCAACTTTTGGGTCCTTTCTCCCAGTTTTTGGTTTGATTTTTCCCTATTTTTGCTCAGTCATTTTTTTACCCATTTTTCTCCATTTTGGGTTCGTATTCTTCAATTTCTGTTCATTTTTTCACGATTTTTGTTCATTTTTCCCCATTTTTTGTCCATTTCTCCCCATTTTTTAATTTGTTTTTCCTCATTTTTGTCCGTTTTTCCCATTTCCCCTGCGTTTCTCCCCGATTCCGTCGCCGTTCCCGGTGTCCAGTCGCTCTCCCGTTTTTTGGATGTTTTTGTTTTTTTCCCCGTTTCTTTCGTTTTTCATATTGAAAAGTCGCCCCCGGGTCCGGAATAAACTCGGGATGGAAAAGCCACAGATGCGTCACCTGTGTCACCTCCTGGGGGGGTCTGGGGTCATCCGAGTGTCCCCAGTGTCACCTGGGCATCACTTTGGGGTCACCTGGAGGGTCCCAGTGTCACTTTGGGGTCACCTGAGGGGTTCCAGTGTCACTTTGGGGTCACCTGCATGTCCCTCTGTCCCTCCTGGAGGTCCCTGTGTCCCTTCAGGGTCACCCGAGTGTCACCTGGAAGGTCTCATTGTCACCTCAGGGTCACCTGGAAGGTCCTGGGGTCACTTTGGGGTCACCTGGAGGGTCCCAGTGTCACTTTGGGGTCACCTGAGGGGTTCCAGTGTCACTTTGGGGTCACCTGCATGTCCCTCTGTCCCTCCTGGAGGTCCCTGTGTCCCTTCAGGGTCACCCGAGTGTCACCTGGAAGGTTTCATTGTCACCTTGGGGGTCCCCTGGGGTCACTGGGAGGGGTCTCTGTGTCACCTCAGGGTCACCTGGGAGGTCCTGGGGTCACTTTGGGGTCACCTGGAGGGTCCCAGTGTCGCTTCAGGATCACCTGAGGGTCCCCATGTCCATCTTGGCAGTCCCTGTGTCACCTCAAGGGTCTCACTGTCCCCTGGGGTGTCCCCCGTTGAGGGTCCTCATTGTCACCTGTCACCTGGAGGTCCCAGTGTCACCTTTGGGTCACCTGGAGGGCCTCAGGGTAACTTTTGAGGTCACCTGGGGAGGTCCTGGGGTCACTTCAGGGTCCCCACTGCCACTTTGGAGGTCCCTGTGTCCCCACCTGAGGGTTCCCAATGTCACCTGTGTCCCTCTTCAGGGTGCCCGTTTGTCACCTGGGCGTCCCCAGTGTCCCCTGTCCCCTCCTCTCCCCCCAATGTCTGCAGGGTGCCCGTTTGTCAGTGGCTCTGGTGGTGGCAGCTTGGGAACGTCACTGGTTGGGGACATTCAGGTGGCACCAGGGGTGGTGGCACTTTGGGAACACCTTGGGGACAAGGGACAAGGTGGGCACTTAGAGGCAATGGGGACAGTGGGGGGTGGCAGCACTTGGGGGACACGGGGACATGACGACGTTCAAGGGTGACACTTGGGGGATATGCAAGGGGTGGTGGCACCTTGAGGACACTTTGGGGACAAGGTGACATTGGGAGGTGGTGGCACCTTGGGGACACATTTGGGACGTGATCAAAGGGTGGTACTTGGGTGACACTTTGGGGACACGGTGGCACTTAGGGGACACTGCAGGGGTGGTGGCACTTTAAGGACACAGGGACACTGCTGTGGTGGCACCTTGGGGACACTTTATTGACATGGTGACACTGGGGGCGGTGGCACCATAGGGACATTTTATTGACAGCACTGTAGTGGCACTTTGGGGACAAGGTGACACCTTGGGGACACTTGGGACAGGGTGACACTGCAGTGGTGGCACTCTGGGGACACTGAGGACATGGGGGTGGTGGTGGCACCTTGGGGACACTGAGAACTTTGTGACATTCAGGGGTGGCATTTGTGGGACACTGCAGTGGGTGGTGGCACCTTGGGGACATCTCAGGGACATGATGACATTTGGGCATGGCACTTTAGGGACAAAGTGACACCAGAGGGTGGCGACACTTCGGGGACACTTAGGAGACAAGGTGGCACCTTGGAGACAGTGACACCACAGGGACACTTAGGGGACATGATGACATTTGGGGGACACTTTGGGGACACACTGACGCTGCAGCAGTGGCACTTTGGGGACATGCAAGGCGTGGTGGCACTCTGGGGACAAAGGGACTTGGGGGCCAGTGGCACCTTGGTGGCCTCAGGAGCCACCGGTGGCACTTTGGGGACGTGGTGACATCGGGGTGGTGGCACTTGGGTGGCACTTTGGGGACACAGCAGGGTCCCGGTGGCTCAGGGGGGTGGTGGCACTTGGGGACACTTTGGTGTCACTGGCGGGTGGCACTCGGGGACATTTTTGGGGTATTTGGAGACGTTTCGGTGGCTCCGGTGCCGCCCTCGGGCTCCGTCGGGGTCACCTGAGGGGACAAGGGGGGGACAGGAGGGACCTGGGGGTGTCACCTCCCCCAGGGGGCCCCAAAATCCCCCAAATTCACCCTAAAACTCACCTGGGACACCCCAAAGCCATCCAGAACCCCCCAAATTCACCCCAAAATCCAAATGGGACCCCCAAACCTCACCTGGGACCCCAAAATCCTCTCAGGATTCCCCAGACTCACCTGGGACCTCCAAAATCCATTGGGACCCCCCCAAAAATCCCTCTGGGCTCCCCCAGATTCCCCAAATTCACCCTAAAATCCACCTGGGAACCCCAAAGTTCACCCCAAATCTCACCTGGGAACCCCCAAATCACCTCAGGGACCTCCCCAGACCCCATCTGGGAAACCCTAAACCCATCCAGGATTCTCCAAAATCCCCCAATATCAACCTAAAATCCATCTGGGACCCCCAAAATCTACTCAAGGGCCTCAGTTTCTCCCTGGGACCCCCTAAATCCCCCAAATTCACCCCAAATTCCATCTGGGACCCCCCAAAATTCTTCCAGGATTCCCCAGACTCACCTGGGACTCCCCAAACCCATCCAGGACCCCTCAAAATTCCCCAAACTCACCCTAAAATCCATCTGGGACCACCCCCAAATCCCCTAAATTCCCCTCAAACCTCACCTGGGACCCCAAATTCCCCCTAAAATCCATCCGGGACCCCAAAATCCTCCCGGGATTCCCCTGACTCATCTGGGACCCCCGAACCCCATCCAGTTCCACCCAAAATCCCCCAAATTCACCCCAAAATTCACCTGGGGTGCTCCAAACTTCACCTGGAACCCCCAAATTCACCCCCAAACCCCGTGAATCCTCCGACCTCACCTGGGAGCCCCAAAACCCCCCTGGGACTCCAAAACCCCCCAAATTCCCCTAAAGCTCACCTGGGAGCCCAAAATCCCCAAACTTTCCACCTGGGACCCCCCAAATCCCCCTTGGCACCCCAAAATCCCTGTAAAGCTCACCTGGGAGCACAAAATCCTTCCTGGAACCCTTCAAAATCCCCCAAATCCCTCCTGGGACCCCCCAAATATCCACCTGGGAGCCCCAAAATCCCCCCTGGCACCCCAAAATCCCCCGAATTCCCCCCAGCTCACCTGGGAGCCCCTGGCCAGCGCCCCCACGGCCCCCGGCAGCCGCGTGACCAAATCCAGGATTTCCGAGGGGATTTTGGCCACCCCGACGGCCCCGGAGCCGCCCACGAGCGTCACCCGGCGCGTCCCCAGCAGCGGCTGCGCCACCGCCTCGGCCACCTGCCCCAAAACGGGGTCCCAAAATCAGCCCCAGGTCAGGGACCCCCAAATCAGGGATCCCCAAATCAGCCCCAGGTCAGAGATCTCCAAATCAGGGATTCCCAAATCAGCCCCAGGTCAGGGATCCCCAAATCAGGGATCCCCATATCAGCCCCAAATTGGGGATCCCAAATCAACCCTGAAATTGGTCCCAAATCAGGGATCCCCAAATCAGGGATCGCCAAATCAGCCCCAAAATCAGTCCCAAATCAAGGATCCCCAAATCAGCCCCAAATTGGGGGTCCCCAAATCAGCCCTGAAATTGGTCCCAAATCAGGAATCCCCAAATCAGCCCCAAAATCAGTCCTAAATCAGGGATCCCCAAAGTCAGCCCCAAAGTCAGCCCCAAATCAGGGATCCCCAAATCAGGGATCCCCAAATCAGCCCCAAAATTGGCCGCGGCCGCGGCACGGGCAGCGCCCGTCACCTGCAGGAACACCAACGTGGGGTTGGGGACACGGGAAATGGGACTGGGAACTCAGAAATTGGCACGAGAGGCGCCCGTCACCTGCGGGGACACAACATGGGGTTGGGGACACCAACATGGGATTGGGGACATGGGAAACGGGATTGTGGACATTGGAAATGGGATTGGGAACCCAGGAATGGGCACGAGAGGCCATGGCCGCGGCACGGGCAGCGTCCGTCACCTGAGGGGACACCAGTGGGGTTGGGGACACCAAAATGGGATTGGGGACACCAACATGGGACTGGGGACACCAAAATGGGATTGGGAACGCAGGAATGGGCACAAGAGGCCACAGCCGCGGCACGGGCAGCGCCCGTTGCCTGCGGGGACACCAACGTGGGGTTGGGGACACCAATGTGGGATTGGGCACATGGGAAATGGGACTGGGGACATGAGAAATGGCACTGGGGACCCAGGAATGGGCATGAGAGGCCATGGCTGTAGCATGAGCAGCAGCCGTGACCTGCGAGGACATGAAACGGGATTGGGGACATCAAAATGGGATTGTGGACATGGAAAATGGGACTGGGGACATGGGAAATGGGATTGGGTACCTAAAACGGGATTGGGAACCTAGGCACGGGCATGAGAAGCCCCAGCCACAGCACGGGCAGCGCCCGTCACCTGCGGGGACACCAACGTGGGGTTGGGGACACGGGAAATGGGACTGGGAACATGGGAAATGGGATTGGGAACTGAGGAATGGGCATGAGAGGCTGAGGCACGGGCAGCACCCATCACCTGCAGGGACACCAGTGGGGTTGGGGACAAAAAAATGGGACTGGGGACGTGGGAAATGGGACTGAGGACACCAAAATGGGATAGGGGACATGGGAAATGGGATTGGGAACTCAAAACGAGATTGAGAACCCAGTCATGGGCATGAGAGGCCACAGCTGTGGCACAGGCAGCGCCCATCACCTGTGGGGACACCAACATGGGACTGGGGACATGGACACAGAGTTAGGGACATCAGAAATGGGACTGGGAACCCAAAATTGGGATCTGGGACCCGAAATGGCATTAGGGACATCGGAAATGGAATTGGGGACATCGGAAATGGAATTGGGGACATGAAACGGGACTGGGGACATTGGAAATAGGATTGGGGATGTGAAACGGAATTAGGGACATCGACATGGGATCGGGGACCCAAAATGGGGACAGAACCCCCAAAAATGGGATCAGGAACCCAAAAACGGGGACAGAACCCCAGGAATGGGATTGGGAACCCCAGAATGGGATCAGTGACACAAAATGGGATCGGGGACACCAACATCGGATAGGGGACCCAAAATGGGATCAGGAGCCCAAGAACAGGATTGGGGACATTGGAAATGGGATCAGGGACACGAAACAGGACTGGGGACCAGAAATGGGACTGGGAACCCAAAAGAGGATAGGGGCCCTGGAAAAGAGGGCAGGACCCCTAAAAACGGGATTGAGACCCCGAAAAATAGCACTGGGAACCCCAAAACAGGATCAGGATCCCCTGAAATTCTGGGAGAGCCAAAAATCCCCCAGGGAACCAAAAATTCCCAGATTTGGGGCCTCAAAATCCAACTGGGACCCCCAAAATCCCCTCAGGACCCCCCAAACCCCCCCAGGCCCCCCAGACTCACCTTGAGGGTCTCGGCCTCGGCCTCCGCCTGCAGCAGCACCTGCGTCCTGTAGGGGGCGCCAAGTCAGGGCGTGGGGCTGCTCTTAAAGGGGCAATGCCGCTCTTAAAGGGGCAACAGTGCAAGATGAGTGGGCCCACATGTGGGGGTGTGGTTTATTTGAAGGGGCATGGCTTCTCTTAAAAAGGGCAATGGGACTTAAAAGGGCAATGACAGCACCCAAGTGACGCAATGGGTCTCTTAAAGGGGCCATGACTAGAAAACAGACTGGTGAGGCCCACCAGGTGTGATGGTGTCTGACTGGGAGGAGGAGTGGCTTCTCTCAAGGGGCGTGGCTTCCCTTAAAAGGGCCACAGCTTTACTCAGCATGGTGGGACCCACCACAGTGAGGGTGTGGCTTCTCCTTAAAGGGGCAACACCTCTCTTAAAGGGGCAACAGCTCTACCCACACTGGTGGAACCAGCCAAAACTCCACCACAGCTGAATGGGAGAGGGCATGGCTCCTTCTTAAAGGGGCAATGGCTTCACCTTGAGGGAGGGACCCACCAGAATAGGACTCACTGTAACAGCTTAAAGGGGCAATGGCTCCACCCAAACTGATGGGACCCACCAAAAACAGGATCATGGTGAACTGGGAGAGAGCATGGCTTTGTCTCAACAGTGCAGCATTTCTCTTAAAGGGGCAACGGCTTCACTTTTACAAGTGGGACGCACCAGGGCTTCTCCTAAAAGGGGCGACACCTCTCTTAAAAGGGCAATGTCCCTACCAAAATGGTGAGACCCACAAAGGTGAGGGTGCAGCTTCTCCTTGAAGGGGCAATACTTCTCTTCAAAGGGCAATGGGTGGGACACCCTAAACTGCCACTGGGCCCAACTGGGCGAGGGCATGGTTCCTTCTTAAAGGGTCAATGACTTCACTACACTGATGGGGCCCACGAGGTGTGTGTCTCCCTTTAAGGGGTGGGGCTTCTCTTGAAGGGGCAATGACTCCACCCAAAGTGGTGGAACCCACCACGGTGAGGGTGTTGCTTCTTAAAAGGACAATACTTCTCTTAAAAGGGCAATGCGTGGGATACCCCAAAACACCACCACACCCCAGCAGAGGAGGGCGTGGCTCCTCTCCAGAGGGGCGTGGCTGCCTTTAAAGGGGCAGCGTCTCACCGCTGCGCCTCGGCCAGCCGCTCCAGCCGGTAGCGCTCGGCCTCGGCCGGTTTGCGCACGGTGGCCTCGAGCTCCTGGCGGCGCCGCCCGACCTCCTGCTCCTGCAGCTGCACCCGCTGCGCCCGCTCCACCAGCGCCACCTCCCCGCGCTGCGCCGCGATGGCCTGCTGGGAACGCGCCGCCTGCGGGGGACATGGGGAGGGGGGACAGGACACAAATCCATCAGGGGAGGGACACAGGGATGGGGGACATAGGGGACAGGTCACAGATCCATCAAGGGAGGGACAAGGGGGACAGGTATCACCAGGCAGGAGCCCAGGTATCTCTAGGGGGACTTCAGGCAGCCTGAGGGTGTCCTCAGGTGACCCAAGAGACCCAAATCTGGGAGGAAACCCCAGGATTTGGAGGTTCCAGGTGTTCTGGAGGGTTGCAGGTGCTCCAGGTGAGCTCCCAGCCCCCATTCCAGCCTCCTCAGGTGTGTTTGATACTGTCTCAGGTGTGTTACCTATCCTAGGTCTGTTCCCTGTCTGTTACCTGCCCCACGTGTGTTTGCTACCTGTCCCAGGTGTTTTATCTGTCCCAGCTGTGTTACCTGTCCAGCTGTGTTACCTGCACAGGTGTGACCTCACCTGCAGCTGGAAGGCCAGCTCAGCCGTGGCCCTGCGGGCGCTGACGGCTCCGTCGCACTCAGCCTGGGCCACCTGGAAGTCGCGCTGGGCTCGCGCCGTGGCCTCCTCGCTCAGCAGCTGCGCCGACACCTGCTCCTGCCGCGCCCGCGCCTCCTGCGGGGACAGCGGCACTGGGACGGACTGGGAGGGACTGGGAGTGAACTGGGAGGGACTGGGATGGAACCTGGAGGGACTGGGAGGGACTGGAAGAGACTGGGAGGGACTGGAAGGGGCTGGGATGGATTGAGAGGAAGTGGAACAGGACAAGGATGGGACTGGGAAGGACTAGGGAATGGGGTACTGGGAGCACTGGGATCACTGCGGGTGTTGGAGCAGTTTGGGGAATGGGGGTACTGGGAGAGACTGGGAAGAACTGGAATGGGACTAGAAAGGCACTGGGAGCACTGGGGTACTGAGCGTACTTCAAGGGGCTGGATAAGGACTGGGAGGTGCTGGAGTGGCATTAGTGGGGTATTGGGAGAGTACTGGGAGCACTGGGAGTACTGGGGCAGTTTGGGGAATGGGGTACTGGGGGCACTGGGAGGGACTGGAATGGGACCTGAAAGGCACTGGGAGGGCACTGGGGGCACTGGGGAATGGGGTACTGGGGCCATTGGGGGTATTGGGAGCACTGGGATGAACTGGGGGCCACAGGGAGAGCACTGGGAATACTGGTGGGTGATTGACAGGAAGGTCAATCAGCTGCCCTCAGGTGTCCCCAGGTGTCCCCAGGTGTGTCCCCAATGTCCCCGGCTGTGTTCCCAATGTCCCCAGGTGTCTCCCCAATATTCCCAGGTGTCCCCGGTGTCACTCACGCGGATCCCAGCGTCGCGTTTGGCCTCGGCCTCTCCCACGCGGGCGTCGCGCTGCACCTGCGCCGTGCGGCCCTTCCCGAGGGAGCGCAGGTAATCCTGCACGGGGACACACCTGTGTCACCTCCCTGTGACACCCAGGTCACCCCACCCCCTCCAGGCACATCCCAGATGTGTCTTAGGCCACACCCAGGTATCCCAGCTGTGCCCAGGTGCGTCCCAGGTGTCTCCATCTTGTCCCTGGACATCTCCAAGTGTGTCTCAGTTGTGTCCCAGGTGTGCCCAGGTATCTCCAGGTGCCCCCAGGTGTGTCCCAGCTCTCCCCAGATGCATCCAAGCTGTACCCCGGATGTCCCCAGGTGTGTCCTCAGCTGTCCCCAGTCACGCCCAGGTGTGTCACCTGCTCGTCGTGCACGTCCTTGAGGGTGTAGCTGACCACGGAGATGCCCATGTTCACCAGGTCGGACGAGGCCACGCGGAAAACCTGATCCGAGAACTTCTGCCGGTCCTTGTAGATCTCCTGGGCGAGGCCGGGGCGGGGCTTAGTGGGGTGGGGCTCAAATGGGGGCGGGGCTTAGCTGGGCAGGGCCTGAGAGTCAAGTTTAAATTGGGCAAGGCTTAGCAGAGTGAGGCTCAAATTGGGCAGAATTTAGTCGTGTGAGACTCAAAATGGGACTTTGTGAGGCAGGGCTTAGCAGGGTGGGGCCCAAGGGGGTGGAGTTTAAATTGGGTGGGGCTTACTGTCCTGGGGTGGGGCTTAAAGGGGCAGGGACAAAATAAGGTGTGGTTAGCAGACAAAGAGCAAAGGGGTGGTGGGTGTGGTTTATACAGGGGGCATGGCTTGAGGCAATGGGTGGTGACAAGGTGGGCAAGACTTTGTCCTGGGGGTGTGGCTTAAGAAGAAAGATGTCAGGCTTAAGGTGGGGTGTGGCTTAAGACAACTGGGCGTGGCTTTGGAAAGTGGGTGGAGCCAGGTGAGTGTGGCTTTGTTTAGGGGGTGTGGCTTGTACAGAAGTGTAGAGCTAGGTGGGCGTGGTTTGATCCAAATGGGCACGGCTTGAACCAAGGGGTGGAGCCAGGTGGGCACGGCTTGGTTTTGGGGGTGTGGCTTGAGACTTAGGGGGCTTGGAATGAGCCAAAGGTGTGTGGCTTGAGCAAGGGGATGTGACCAGATGGGTGTGGCTTGAGCCCAGGGTGGAGTCAGGGGAGTGGCTCAGCTTGGGGGTGTGGCTTGACCCAAAACGGGTGTGGCTTGAACAAGGGGGTGGTGCTAGGTGGGTGTGGCTTGAGTAAGGGGTGGGGCCATGGGTGTGGTTTGTACTGGGTGGAGCTGGTTGGGCACGGCCTGAATTGAGGGGTGGGGTCACGATTAAGGCAAGGGCTTGGCTTGACCCAGGGGGCAGGGCTTGAGTCATGGGGTGGGGTCTGGTGGGTGTGGCTTTGATATGGGGTGGGGCTTATACTGGGGCAGGGTCAAGAAAGGAGGCGGGGCTTAGGGCAGGTATGGGCGTGGCTTTAGAGGAAGTGGGGCCAAGGAAGAAGGAGCTTGCACTGGTGGGCAGGGCTTTAGCAAAAAGGTTACATCTTGTGGGCGTGGCTTTACAGTGGGTTTGGCCTCCTCCAAGGGTGGGGCCTTTCAAGGGGTGGAGCTTATGGGCCAAATGGGGAAGGGATCTCTTAAAGGGCCAAACCCCATCCCAAATGAGGGGTGTTGACTGCTCCCTGAGGGGATGTGTCCATCCAAGTGGGTGTGGCCACATCAGGGGCACGGCTTCTGGGAGAATGGACTTTCCAAGTAGACCTGGCATTTCTTAAAGGCACCACATCCCAAGTGGGGGGGGTGCTGATTGGCTCCCAAGTGGGTGTGGCTGTCCTGGGAGGGGCATGGGTTCCCAAAAACGGGTGTGGCTCCCCGCAGCCCCACCTCCACAGTCATGTGGGCCATGATGGCACGCTGGTGGCCCTCCAGCGTCTCCAGGGCAATCTGGCCGATCTCGCTCTCCGACTTGCCCAGGAACATCTGGCAGGCAGCCGCCAACATCTCCTTGTTCTGCCCCTGGATCTTCACCTGTGGTGGAGCTGGGATCACCTGGAGACCCCTCAGCCACCCCTGGGACCCCCCCAAAATTGGTGTGGCCCCTTCAAGGGGTAGGTGTGGCATTGCCCTTTTAAGAGGCTGGTTACTTAACAGGGTGGGGACCACCAGGGCAATGCCCTTTTAACGGCTCTCATCCTCTTGGAGGGGGCTTGGGGGTCCTCACCAGCCCTAGCCCATTTTTGGGGCAGTCTTACCCCTCTTAAAGGGGTCCCCACCAACAAAAATTCCTTTTAAGGGGGGGTCTTGACTTCCCAGTGTGATTTTGGGTCCTCACCTCACCAAGCCCCTTTACAAGTTGGATCTTGATCCCTTTAACAAGACTTCAGGCAGGCCCCCCCATCACAAATCCTTTTTGTTTCTAAGGTTTTCCTATGGGTTTTAAACGGTTTGTAAGAAGATTTTTAAAAGGTTTTTTAAGAGGGTTTCTAAGGGTTTTGAACCCCTTAAGGATTTTCTGAGGTTCCCACCACCCCAAGCACCTTTAGGGATTGGACCTTGACCCCTATAAGAAGGATTTAGGGAACCTGCCCCATCACAAACTTTTTGGCTTTTAGACTTTCAAAAAGTTTTTAAAGGATTTTAATTCACTTTTAGGGGTTTCTAAGGGTTTTGCCACCCCTTAAGGGTTTTTTGGGTCCCCACCACTCCAAGTCCCTTTTAAGGGGAATTCCCCCTCCCATCCCAGGAGTTTGGGGATCCCCAAAACTTCGAGCTCCTTTCAAGGGATTCCCCACCCCTAAATGCCCTTTTTAGGAGTGTTTTTACCCCTTTAAATGTTTCCCGTAGGGGCCACCACGCCAAACCCCCTTTAAAGGGCTCCTCCCCTCCCCCCCGCGCTGTTTTGCGTTTCCCGCTACCATCGCCGCTTTAAGAACGGCCTTACGTGGGCCCCACCACAAGCTCACTTAAAAGGGCAACGCCACCCTGGTTGGTTCGGGCAGGGGCGCCCCGGGGGGGTTTTGGGGGGTCCCGAGGGGAGATTTGGGGGTCCCGGAGAATTTTTGGGAGGTTCCAAGGAGATTTCGGGGGTTCAGAGTGTGGGTTTGGAGGTCCTGAGGGGGTTTCAGAGGAACCCGCAAGGGATATTTGGGGGTTCTGGGGGGAATTGGGGGGTCCTGGGGCAATTTTGGGGGGTCCAGAGGGGGATTTTGGGGGTTCCCAAAGAGATTCTGGGGGTTCTGAGTGGATTTTTGGGAGTTCTGAATGAGATTGTTGGGGTACCAGGGAGATGTTGGGGTCCAGGAAGGGTGGTGGGTTCCCGGGGGCATTTTGGGGATCCCAGGGGGATTTTTAGGGGATTTTTGGGGTTTTGGAGGGAGATTTTTTAGGGGGTTTCCAAGGGTCCAGGAGGGGATTTTTGGGAATTCTGAGGGGGATTTTCAAGGGTCAAGGAAAGGATTTTTGGGGGATTTTTAGGGTATTTTTGGCAGTCCAGGTGGGGATTTTTGGGACCACTGGAAGCGATTCTGGGGGGATTTGGGGGGGATTTTTGGAGTGTTTTCGGAGGAATTTTTTTGGGATTTTTGGGCAGTTTTGGGGGTCCGGGAGAGGATTTTTTGGGAGGATTTTTTGGGGATTTTTGGCGGTTCAGATGAGGGATTTCTGGAGGTCCATGAGGGGATTTTTGGGGTGGTTTTGGGGCGTTCTGGGGGTACCTGTGCGATGCCGGTGACGGAGATGGGCACCCCGTGGCGGGTGTAAACCTTCTCACTGCGCACCGGCAGCGTCAGCGTGTTCAGGGAGATCCTGGGGGCGCCGGGGGGGGGTCACCCCAAATCTCTGGGGACCCCTCCCGAACCCCAAAAAACCCCCCCGGGCCCCTCCTCACCGCTGGATCTGCTGCAGGCACGGGATCACCAAGACCCGGCCCCCGGCCACCATCACCGGGGGGCTGCGGCAGAAACCTGGGGGGCACCGAGAGCTGGGGGGGACCCCAAAACCCCGGGGGGGACACGAGGACAACCCCAGGAATCCCCGGGATGGATTTGGGGGGGGTCCCAGGAGGGGGTTGGTTGGACCCCCAGGAGTTTAGAGGGAGGAATTTGGGGGGAAA